TAAAACTAACCATGGAGAATACTAACAGTGGCATGCCTGGTAGCGATCACGTCTGCCAGACCAGTAGGGGAAATAGCAGCTTTGATGGCGGATCCACCTTACACTGTATTCTGCAGGGATATGGTTGTGCTTAGAACCCACCGCAAGTTCCTCCCTAAGGTACTAATGGAGTTCCACTGCAATGAGCCAATAGACTTACCTGTCTTCCCCAAAGCACACAGCTCTCCATACCCTGGACATCCGCAGGCCACTAGCTTTTTACCTACAATGCACTATGCCTTTTAGTAAAACTCCCTGGCTCTTTGTCTCTTCTACAGAGAGATCACAGGGGCTGCCGATCTCTAATCAGAGATTTGGCTGCATCAAGCTAGCATATATCATAGCCTAAAAGGAGTTAACACCAACTGTACGGACATACCGACACGGGCAGTGGCAGCCACCATGGCATTCCTATGAGGAGTATTGACTGATAACATGGGCCTCAGTATATACCTTCACGCTACATTACACATTGCAAACTTTTGTAGACACGGACATGAACTTTGGCCACACAATACTCATGGCCTCACAATCTCAGCATCCGAAGCTTCCACCGCCTCATACAAACACTGCTTCATAATCACCTGAGGTGGAGCACCCACAGGGACAGTCCTCGAAGAAGGAGAGGTTACTTTGAGATGGTTGTCCCCGTGGGTGCTCCACCACCCTTCCACCTCCCCTTTACTTCAAGATACAACATCTCCTGGGCAGAGAAGGAACTGAGGAGCTGAGGGAGGGCCGGTCACGCATGCACAGTAGCCTGCATAGAACACATACTGGCTTCCTGCACGCACGGCCGGCCAGGGGTACTGCTGTAAAAGACCTCCGTCCTGGGCTCAGCGGTGCTGAAGCACCCACGGGAACAAACATCTCGCAGAACTCCAGTTACTGCGGAGGTGAGTAACTTCTCATGTTTGTTTGGAAAAAGAAATGAAATCATACTGTGATTGACTGTGGGGTCTAGATGACTCCTACAGAATTGACATTTTAAAAACCTCTTTATATTTTTTCACGTCTAATCCAACAGGCTTTATGGCACCTCTTTGCTATTGTATCTGTGTAAACCTTGCTCCTCACTCAGTAAAAGGAATAAAAATTACTTCAGGAAGTCTTGATCCTTCCCAAATCTGTCCACTTAAAATATCAGGCTCTTTTGGAATTAATCACTATTAATATGCCTCTACCTTAATTTGATCTCTTGGATGCTTTCAGTGTATCAGTCATGCTGCTGTGTGCAAGCTAGAATGTGGTGCTGACTCAAAAACCATCATAACTTAGTTTTCTGCTGGTAGAACAGTAGGACCTCTTGAGCTGCCAGGCAAGAGATTTCTGCTCTCTGAGGCTAACTTTGGGAAGGGTCTTACTCTGTTATGGTCATCCTCGAAAGCTGGAGTTGTATGAAGTATCCTCCTTGTCCAGTGGCTGTATTGGATTGAGTCAAGCCTAAAAGCAGAAAACCTTCAGAACAAAATATTGTTAAAACACAATATTAAATATACTTTTGGGTGGCTAAATAGCTTTTGGAAGGATCTGAAATAACGTTCTTAGTGAAAAGTCTCTTCAGTTCAACGTCAATGTAATCTTTAATTTCATGTTGACATTCTTTTCTTCAGCAATACCTTGTCTTCCACCTCCTAATATCGCCCATGGATCCCATAGTCGTGCGGGTGAAGAAGAGTTTGTATTTGGCTCAGCAGTAACTTACAGTTGTGACAAGGGCTTCTCTCTTATTGGAGAGGCCTCCATTCATTGTACAACGAATGATAAAGTCAATGGAGAATGGAGTGGGCCGGCCCCTGAATGCAAAGGTTAGTAGCATCTAATTTTTTATCTCCTTACTCAAACATCTCCTCCCAGGAGAACTGTATTTTCATTGCTAAGTAGCCCAGTTACCTGAGGAAATTTAGTTAGTGCTTTGTTCCTCTAAATACCTATTGTGCAAACTAGTTACTGTTGGAAACTTAATCTCTAAAGAATGACTGAGACTTTCTAAATACATCGTTGTTCGGAACAATTTTACTGCTAATATATCCTGTATTTGTGTGTGTCTTCTATGGTCCAAGATTGCAGTTAATTCTTATGCCACAAACAGTTGATTTTAGGTGAAGCTAAACTAGTAAAGTAAGGTTTTGGGTTTATGCCTATTCAAATGCTAAAGTGGGGAGTGAACCTGATAAACAGGGTCCTTTGGCAGCTTTATTTTTCATAACTGTATGGGAGGGCTTCTTGGCAGTGAAGACTCATGGTTTTGTGAGTTCATATCACAGCTATCCTCATTTCTTTGGTGGGTTAAATAAGTCCTGTTCCATCCTCATTTTGGAGGCTGCCATCAGTGTTCATGCACGTTATTGCATGTAACTAACAGTACTTCTAAGTCTTGGAATTCAAGGAGCTGCCGCAACCTGGTTTTTTTTTTTTTTGATGGGTTTCCCCTCTGAACAGCTGAGATTGTGAGGCTTTTTGAGAGGCACAAGGAAGATTGGCTAACTTGCTGCTCAGTATATCTCTGCCCTTTCCTCCTCTCCTTCCAAAAGTAGGGAAGTTCCATTCCAGAATGGGATCACATGCAGCCCTTTTATAGCTTGCCCTAAATTTCAGATGCCTTTGTACAATAATGATGTGTAGCTAATGGGATGGGAGGAGTGCTGATACCGTAGATTTTGGTGCTGTCCTATATATAGACTAACAGTTTTTACAAGGGAAGATCTAAAGTTGCATAACTTCAGTTTAAAATACATTTTGATACCACCTGTAGTCAAGTATCGGGGCTTTTTTTTCTCTTCTGTCCCCACTAACTGCTTCATGTGCAAAATGGTCTAATACTGGTACTTTTAATTTTCAGTGGTCAGGTGTCCAGAGCTACAAATCAAAAATGGAAAAAAGCAATCTGGATTTGGACCTAACTATTCATATGGAGACACAATAGTATTTGAATGTGATCCTGGTTATACCTTAAGTGATAACCCTTCAGTTAAATGTGAAGCTAATAGTTCATGGGTCCCATCTTTACTAGCCTGCCAACGTAAGTATAAGCAGTTATGTTGAGCCTTAACATGTTAATATTTAGGAAGTTTGTTGGTTTTTACTAGCCACGTTAGAATGATGTCAAGTTTGAGGGAGTCTGTCCCTCCTTTTTTGCCTTAGAAATAACACATGTTGCACCTACAACTTCCCCTCTAGAAGAAGCAAAAGTTACTTCTCGGAAGTTGCATGAACTTTTGGCTACTTAAAACCTAGAGATTTTTATCATGTGGTTTCTACAAGACTGAAAATGGAAGTGTGACTGTCACAATGTATATTTCATATCTAAATTTTAGAATTTAGTCATTCACGATCGCTAATATAAATAGCGTTTTTCTCTTAGGTTTTAAAGCACAATTTATTTCTTCATCCACCCACTGACAGAATCCTTGGGGTGCAGCCAACTGTGATAAGGTTGTGTCCCCTTAAATCTGCAGCCTGGGCTGTCTCTCACAATGCTTTGCTAGTGACAAGAAGCAAACCCCTTCAGGACTTGTGATTACTCATTACCACTTCATGCGGAGACCCACACCCAGCTAAGATTGCATGAATGCTCCTAGAACCACTCCACACAATGTTCAGCGGCATCCTATTTGCTCATAGATGGAAAATCTTAGAGGAACCACCGCTTGGGGTAATTGTTGCTATGAAATGGAAAATCCTAATTCTAGCCTTGTTCTAGGGAAATCGTGCGGTCATCCAGGAGAGCTGAAGAACGGCAGTGTTATTGCAACAGATTTCCTGTTTGGCTCAGTGGTCCAGTTCATATGTGAAGAAGGGTAAGTTTCCACCTGCTTGAGTTGACTACTTGTGCTTAGTTTGTGGAACATAACTGGATACTCTCCTATTCCCCCATCTCCTGTAAGCAAGTTATTGTTTCATAATAAGGCAGCACTCCTGCTTCTTAGCTCAATTAATGTAATTTTGAGTAGTAGTAGTGTTGGGTGAACACAAACATCTTCTGTGGGGATAGGAGCCAAGTGAGCAGGGCAGCCCTTGGAATGTCTTGGCTTTTCAATCTGCTTGGAATGATTTTAAATGACTGCAGTTTCCTGAGAGCTATGCAGCGAAGGGACTCGATGGCCCATCTATCTGCAAGGACACACCCAGCTGGGAGAGGCCTCTAAGTTGGCTGGGAGAGGTCTCTGGGAGACCGCCCCTGAAAACTTCCACACAATGTTCAGCGGCAGTCACAAGGGCAAATAGGATGCTAGGAATTATTAAGAAAGGATATCAAAAAAGATATTTTGGCATTAGAAAAGGTTCAGAAAAGTGCAACTAAAATGATTAGGGGTTTGGAATGGGTCCCATATGAGGAGAGGCTAAAGAGACTGGGACTTCTCAGTTTAGAAGAGAGTAGACTGAGAGGGGATGTGATAGAGGTCTATAAAATCATGAGTGCTGTGGAGAGGGTGAATAGAGAAAAGTTATTTATTAGTTCCCATAATAGAAGAACTAGAGGACACCAAATGAAGTTAATGGGTAACAGGTTTTAAACTAATACAAGAAAGTTCTTCTTCACGCAGCATGTAGTCGACCTGTGGAACTCCTTGCTAGAGGAGGCTGTGAAGGCTAGGACTATAACAGAGTTTAAAGAGAAGCTAGATAATTTCATGGAGGCTAGGTCCATAAAAGGCTGTTAGCCAGGGGATAGAAATGGTATCCCTGGCCTCTGTTTGTCAGGATGGAGAAGGATGGCAGGAGACAAATCGCTTGATCGTTGTCTTTGGTCCACCCTCTCTGGGGCACTTGGTGCTGGCCACTGTTGGCAGACAGGCTACGGGGCTAGATGGAACTTCTGTCTGACCCAGCACTGCCGTTCTTATGAGTTAGTTTGAAGATATGATGGCAGAATGACAGTAGTCTGGCCTCTCCTTTGAAAGTCTAGGGCTGTGCTTCAGTGGCCTGAATAGTGAAGTCTCCAGGTGCAGCACCAGCTGGGAGGGCTATAAGAGTCTTGTGTCTGGGCTTGAAAAGAAAGAATCCCTTTGTGCGTCAAGTCTCATGTCACAGAAACTGGCCATAGCAGCTGCTGGTGCTGAACTCTAGATCCACTATGTCTGTGCATGTGGGCCTTCTTCCCAGGAAAACTCAGAGAGAGAGAAATAGGTAACGGCTCATAACCCCTCTGCCTCCCTCCAGATACCGGCTGATTGGAAAGCCTGACAGACGATGTGAGATTTCTGGTACGGACGTTGCATGGAGCGGTGTTATGCCGTTTTGCGAGCGTAAGTAAATTACAAATATTTGTCCAGGTGTCTATGTAGGCAGTGCTCTCTTACTGCTTGCCTCGCAAATGTTGTTAAACAGATAGGGAAGCATTATGATCACCACTTTAGAGAGGGAGAACTGAGATACAGATTAAATGAGATACAGGGTGATATACGGAGTTAGTCAGCATTGGCAAAGCCAAACAGTCAATCCAAATCTCCAAGTGTTAAGTGTTTACCTTAATGGCAAAGTATCACTAAGGGAGCATGGTTGAGGGAGGCATGCGAAGGGGCTTTGTCCCCAAGGAGAAGTGTGTTGTTGAGTCCAATTTCTGACAGCAAAAGATTTTAGTTTCTTTGGCAGCTGAATACATGAAAAAACCAGAGAGCTTGGTATGGCAGCAGTGTCCCACCAAAATGGTTATTGGCCATTGTGGATTTTGGAAAAAGGTAACAGATGTGCCTGCTAGGTATTTGTATTAATTAAAACGAGGAACCTAGAAACCAGTCTACTCAGTAGTAAAATATTACAATTAGCACTCATCTTAGTGAGTTTGGTAATTTACATAACACCAGTGTCAGAGCAGATCAGTGCTCCTGGGCCATCCCCCGTTAGCCTATTTTGTTCTTGTAGTTTAGTAGCTAGGGCAGTTAGTTTTCTTTAGCATATTAATTAATTTGAAGCTGCTACTTTACCAGTATCAGTTCTCAAATACACTCTTCCTGTGTCTCTCCAGGTATTCTGGGTCATCCCCATCCTGACATCCACAATACAAGAATCCTAAACCTATTCTTGTACAATAGTGATAGAAATGTAGCCGTGTTAGTCTGGTGTAGCTGAAACAAAATACAGGACTATGTAGAACTTTAAAGACTAACAACATGGTTTATTAGATAATGAGCTTCGTGGGCCAGACCCTCTTCCTCAGATCAAATAGTGGAAGAAAATAGTCACAGCCATATATACCAAAGGATACAATTTAAAAAAAAAATTTTGTATCCTATGGCTGTGACTATTTTCTTCTACTATTTGATCTGAGGAAGTGGGTTGTCTGGCCCACGAAAGCTCATCATCTAATAAACCATCTTGTTAGTCTTTAAAGTTCTACGTAGTCCTGTATTTTGTTTCAGCTACACCAGACTAACACGGCCACATTTCTATCACTATTCTACATGTGAGTTAATAGTATTAGAGATGATAATTGGGGAAGCTATCTTTGTAATGGGTAAGGTAGCTGGGGTCTTTGTTCAGCCCCCCCTGCGGAGAGTGTCGAATTTTAGCATGAATGCCAGTTCAGAGGATTCCCTTTCAAGTGCAGATTTGAATGTCTTCTGAAGTTGGATGCAGGTGAATAGGTCATTGAGACAGTGTCCTTTCTGGTTGAAATGGCAAGCAACTGTTTTTTCTTTGTGATCCTGTCTAATGTCTGTTTTGTGGGCATTGATTCTTTGGCGAAGTGTCTGAGACGTTTGTCCATTGTACATAGCATATCTATTCTTGTACATGTATTCTTTGGTGCTAAAATGGAAGCAGGTTTGCTGTCCAGCAGAAAACCTTATTAGCTGAGGCTGCTGGGTCAGTCCAAAAGAAAGTACAAATCTCAAGTACCCACCATTTTCGTGCTTCTACTATTGTTTTTTCCAGGCAGTAGTCAGTTACCTGAAAATAGTACATTTCACCTCATGGTGAAGACCAGTGCAAAGGTCTTCAGGGACTTTTCTTGTTCCTTCTCACTGTTTGGGAGCAGAGTATCTCATTTCTTTGGTCTTTGGTCCTCAGTCACATCAGACCAGTCAGTCCTGAGCACTGTGGAACTGGTTTGTCCTCTGCAGTTTTTCTCCATTTCCCTCACTAGTCCCTTTTCAGGGACCATTTTCATGAAGAAATTCCATCGAGTGCTCGAATAGCTGATTAATCAAAATTTAACATCAATAGAGAGAATCTATCCTTTTTTTTTTCCCTTTGGTGCACAAGACAGAACTCACTCTGCAAGGTCTTCAGGGACTTTTCTTGTTCCTTCTCACTGTTTGGGAGCAGAGTATCTCATTTCTTTGGTCTTTGGTCCTCAGTCACATCAGACCAGTCAGTCCTGAGCACTGTGGAACTGGTTTGTCCTCTGCAGTTTTTCTCCATTTCCCTCACTAGTCCCTTTTCAGGGACCATTTTCATGAAGAAATTCCATCGAGTGCTCGAATAGCTGATTAATCAAAATTTAACATCAATAGAGAGAATCTATCCTTTTTTTTTTCCCTTTGGTGCACAAGACAGAACTCACTCTGCTCATAGATGGAAAATCTTAGCGGAACCACTGCTTGGGACATTTGTTGCTTTGAAATGGAAAATCCTAATTCTAGCCTTGTTCTAGGGAAATCGTGTGGTCATCCAGGAGAGCTGAAGAACGGCAGTGTTATTGCAACAGATTTCCTGTTTGGCTCAGTGGTCCAGTTCATATGTGAAGAAGGGTAAGTTTCCACCTGCTTGAGTTGACTACTTGTGCTTAGTTTGTGGAACATAACTGGATACTCTCCTATTCCCCCATCTCCTGTAAGCAAGTTATTGTTTCATAATAAGGCAGCACTCCTGTTTCTTAGGTCAATTAATGTAATTTTGAGTAGTAGTAGTGTTGGGTGAACACAAACATTTCCTGTCGAGATAGGAGCCAAGTGAGCAGGACAGCCCTTGGAATGTCTTGGCTTTCAATCTGCTTGGAATGATTTTAAATGACTGCAGCTTCCTGAGTGCTATGCAGCAAAGGGACTTGATGGCCCGTCTATCCCCAAGGACTCGCCCAGTTGGGAGGGGCCTCTGAGTTAGTTTGAAGATAACGTGGCGGAAAGACAGTAGCCTGGCCTCTCCTTTGAAAGTCTAGGGCTGTGCTTCAGTGGCCTGAATAGCAAGGTCTCCAGGTGCTAGGAGGGCTATAAGAGTTTCGTGTCTGGGCTGGAAAAGGAAGAATCCCTTTGCGTATCAAGTCCCATGTCACAAAAAATGGCCATAGCAGCTGCTGGTGCAGAACACTAGATCCATCATGTCTGTGGATGTGGGCCTCGTGTGATGCAGTGGTTTATATAGAGCACTTTCTTGGGCTAGGACTGATGTGACTGGTTATCTCAAGCTGGCCAACCCCAGCTGGGTGTACCAGGCCCATACCCACAACCCAAAGCACTCCAATGTGAAAAGTGTAGAACCGGTGTGGAGCTGGCATAGTAACAACCCCCAGCGGCCTGCCCCAAAGTGCTGATGTTCCTAATTTGCCTGTGGCTTGTGATTCCTTGCCAGGGCATGACCCAGCTTGTGTGGTGAGGAAGACTTCAGGGCACAGAAAGGAAAGATAGAGGCCCTGGCCCAACCCAACCTCCCTTTAATTCACTGAACCTGCATAAGATTTCATGATTTAATTCTAGATGGGTCTGGAGAGTTGTGAGTTGGCGAAGGAGCCTTTTCTCCTATGATGATCACTCAACAGTCAGAGGTGTTTGTCCCACCTTCTGTGACTGGGGAAAATAGCTTCCCAAATAATTGCTCCCCAGGAAAACTCAGAGAGAGAGAAATAGATAACTGCTAATAACCACCCTGCTTACCCCCAGGTACCGGCTGATTGGTGAGCCTGACAGACGATGTGAGATTTCTGGAACGGACGTTGCATGGAGCGGTGATGTGCCCTTTTGTGAGCGTAAGTAAATTACAAATATCTGTCCAGGTGTGTATGTAGGCAGTTTTCTCTTACTGCTTTCCTCACAAATGTTAATAAACAGATAGGGAAGCATTATGATCACCACCTTAGAGAGGGAGAATTGAGGCATAGATTAAGTGACTTCTCCAGAGTGATATACGTACTTAATCAGTATTAGTCAAGCCAAACATTTAATCCAAATCTCCAAGTCTTAGGTGTTTACCTTAATGGCAAAGCGTCATTAAGGGAGCATGGTTGAGGGAGGCATGCGAAGGGGCTTTGTCCCCAAGGAGAAGTGTGTTGTTGTGTCCTATTTCTGACAGCAAAAGATTTCAGTTTCTTTCGCAGCTGAATACATGAAAAAACCAGAGAGCTTGGTATGGCAACAGTGTCCCGCCAAAATGGTTATTGGCCATTGTGGATTTTGGAAAAAAGTAACAGGTGTGCCTGCTAGGTATTTGTATTAATTAAAAACTAGGAACCTAGAAACCAGTCTACTCAGTAGTAAAATATTACAATTAGCACTCATCTTAGTGAGTTTGGTAATTTGCATAACACAACACCAGTGTCAGAGCATATCAGTGCTCCTGGGCCATCCCCTGTTAGCCTATTTTGTTCTTGTAGTTTAGTAGCTAGGGCAGCTAGTTTTCTTTAGCACATCAAATAACCTGAAGCTTCTGCTTTACCAGTATCGGTTCTCAAATACACTCTTCCTGTGTCTCTCCAGGTATTCCGTGTCGTCCCCATCCTGACATTCCCAATACAGGAATCTTAAACCTATGCTTGTACATGTATTCTTTGGTGCTAAAATGGAAGCAGGTTTGCTATCCAGCAGAAAACCTTATTAGCTGAGGCAGCTGGGTCAGTCCGAAAGGAAGTACAAACCTTAATACCTGACATTTTCGTGCTTCCACTACTGTTTTTTCCAGGCAATAGTCAGTTACCTGAAAATAGTATATTTCACCTCATGGTGAAGACCAGTGCACCGGTCTACAGGGACTTTTCTTGTTCCTTCCCACTATTTGGGAGCAGAGGATCTCATTTCTTTGGTCTTTGGGTCCTCAGTCACATCAGACCGGTCATTTCTAAGCACTCTGGAACTGGTTTGTGCTCTGCAGTTTTTCTCCATTTCCCTCACTAGTCCCTTTTCAGGGACCATTTTCATGAAGAAATTCCATCGAGTGCTCGAATAGCTGATTAATCAAAATTTAACATCCCTAGAGTTAATCTATCCTTTTTTTTTTTTTTTTTTTTTTCACTCTGCTCATAGATGGAAAATCTTAGAGGAAACACTGCTTGGGATAATTGTTGCTTTGAAATGGAAAATCCTAATTCTAGCCTTGTTCTAGGGAAATCGTGCGGTCATCCAGGAGAGCTGAAGAACGGCAGTGTTACTGCAACAGATTTCCTGTTTGGCTCAGTGGTCCAGTTCATATGTGAAGAAGGGTAAGTTTCCACCTGCTTGAGTTGACTACTTGTGCTTAGTTTGTGGAACATAACTGGATACTCTCCTATTCCCCCATCTCCTGTAAGCAAGTTATTGTTTCATAATAAGGCAGCACTCCTGCTTCTTAGCTCAATTAATGTAATTTTGAGTAGTAGTAGTGTTGGGTGAACACAAACATCTTCTGTGGGGATAGGAGCCAAGTGAGCAGGGCAGGTGAGCAGGGCAGCCTTTGGAATGTCTTGGCTTTTCAATCTGCTTGGAATGATTTTAAATGACTGCAGTTTCCTGAGAGCTATGCAGCGAAGGGACTCGATGGCCCATCTATCTGCAAGGACACACCCAGCTGGGAGAGGCCTCTAAGTTGGCTGGGAGAGGTCTCTGGGAGACCGCCCCTGAAAACTTCCACACAATGTTCAGCGGCAGTCACAAGGGCAAATAGGATGCTAGGAATTATTAAGAAAGGATATCAAAAAAGATATTTTGGCATTAGAATTGAAAAAGGAAGAATCCCTTTGCGTGTCAAATCTCATGTCACAGAAACTGGCCATAGCAGCTGCTGGTGCTGAACTCTAGATCCATCATGTCTGTGGATGTGGGCCTCGTGTGATGCAGTGGTTTATATAGAGCACTTTCTTGGGCTAGGACTGATGTGACTGGTTATCTCAAGCTGGCCAACCCCAGCTGGGTGTACCAGGCCCATACCCACAACCCAAAGCACTCCAATGTGAAAAGTGTAGAACCGGTGTGGAGCTGGCATAGTAACAACCCCCAGCGGCCTGCCCCAAAGTGCTGATGTTCCTAGCTTGCCTGTGGCTTGTGATTCCTTGCCAGGGCATGACCCAGCTTGTGTGGTGAGGAAGACTTCAGGGCACAGAAAGGAAATATTGATGCCCTAGCTCAAGCCACCCTTCCCTTAATTCATTGAACCTGCATAAAATTTCATGGTTTAATTCTAGATGGGTCTGGGGAGTTGAGTTGGCGAAGGAGCCTTTTCTCCTATGATGATCACTCAACAGTCAGAGGTGTTTGTCCTACCTTCTGTGACTGGGGAAAATAGCTTCCCAAATAATTGCTTCCCAGGAAAACTCATAGAGAGAGAAATAGGTAAGGTCTGATAATCCCTCTGCCTACCTCCAGGAATCGGCTGATTGGGCAGCCTGACAGACGATGTGAGATTTCTGGAACGGACGTTGCATGGAACGGTGATATGCCCTTTTGCAAGTGTAAGTAAATTACAAATATCTGTCCAGGTGTGTATGTAGGCAGTTTCCTCTTACTGCTTGCCTCAGAAATGTTAATAAACAAATAGGGAAGCATTATGATCACCACCTTAGAGAGGGAGAACTGAGATACAGATTAAATGGCCACCCTTATCCAGGGTGATATACGGAGTTAGTCAGTATTGGTAAAGCCAAACAGTCAATCCAAATCTCTGAGTGTTAGGTGTTTACCTTAACGGCAAAGCATCGTTAAGAGAGCATGGTTGAGAGAGGCATGCGAAGGGGCTTTGTCCCCAAGGAGAAGTGTGTTGTATCTGCTAGGTATTTATATTAATTAAAAACTGAACCTAGAAACCAGTCTACTCAGTAGTAAAATATTACAATTAGCACTCATCTTAGTGAGTTTGCTAATTTACATAACACCAGTGTCAGAGCAAATCAGATGCTCCTGGGCAATCCCGTGTTAGGCTATTTTGTTCTTGTGGTTTCGTAGCTAGGGCAGCTAGTTTTCTTTAGCACATCGAGTAACTTGAAGCTGCTTCTTTACCAGTATTGGTTCTCAAATACACTCTTCCTGTGTCTCTTGGAAAGTACACTGGGGTTGACTTCTCTTATGGGTTAGCTGTACCTTATACATTCGACCGTGGTTACCAGGTCATTGGAGAGGCCTCTATTAATTGCACAACCAAGGACAGAGTAAACAGCATGTGGAATACATGTCCTCCCCAGTGTGAAGGTGGAGCTTCTGTATGTGCAAAATGGTAGTGCTCTAGTTTTCTTTAGCAGATCAAGTAACTGTCGCTGTTGCTTTACCAGTATTGAGTCTTAAATGCCTTCTTTTGTGTCTTCCCAGATATTGCGTGTCATCCTCCTCCAGACATCTCGCACGGAAATTACATTGGAGTTGACTTCTCCTATGGATCAACTGTAACTTACTCATGTAACAGTGGGTACAAGCTCACTGGAGAGGCCTCTGTGTATTGCACAACCGAGGATGAAGTAAACGGAATGTGGAGTGCACGTCCTCCTCAGTGTGAAGGTGGGGCTTCAGTATGTGCAAAATTAGTATGAGTTTCTTTTTTTGGCATTAGAAGGGACAACTGAAACTGAGAAAAATCTTCCTTAAAAAGAAAAATACTGAATCTTCCAAGAACTTTGTAAGCAGAACTGCCATAGGATTAAGTAGGAATTCCTTCAGTGGGAATGCAAAGTCTGCCCTCTGAGGATATGTCTAAACTGCAAGGTTATTTTGGAATAACTGCTGGAATACCTATTTTAAAATAGTATGTCCATACTACATGGAAGCTTCGAAATCAATCTGAGGCAGATGCACTACCTTCATTTTAGAGTCCCAGGTAACACTTGGGAGTATTTACTCTGAATGGCCCTGGGGAGGGAGTATTTACTCTGAATGGCCCTGGGGAGGAGCTAATTTGAAGTAGCAGCAGCAGTGAGTCCATACTACTGCTATTTCAAAATAAGCGTTAATCCTCATGAAATGCGGGGCTATTATTTCAAAATAAGAAGCCTGTTATTTTGAAATAATTTTGAAGTAATGGGCTTGCTGTTTGGACGCACTGATGGTTATTTCAGAGTAACGTTTTGTCTTAGATGACAACAAAGGAAGAGCAGACAAGGTAGCTATTTCCTATTCACTTTTCAGTACTGTATTCCATTGGTTCTTCTGGCCCCCTGCCAACACATTTGCTAGCTACCTGAGTTTAACACCTTCAGAATTTCGCCACAAAGTCATTGGCAAACGTAGCCACTTCCATAGTTTTTGTGCAAAAAAGGGACTATTTGTGTTTTAAATGGCAAGCGTAGACCTGTCCTGAGCAACAACTTTGTATCACACACAAGGTGACAACACTCCCACGTCACAATTGATACGTGGTTGATTTAGCAGGTGAACTGAATAGTGTCTTTCTGGCTCACCCATTAGAACAGTATTGAGCTTTCTTCTCTCCTGGAAGAAGCTGTTGTATTCTTTAAAATTAGGCAGGGCAGTTCTATATACCTGGATATATTTGGAGAATTTTAATACATTTTTCTTTTCCAGATAGCACCAGGACAATCTGTAACTTGCCAGAGAAACAGAAAGTGTTTGGATAAATATTTTTGAAGAAATCATATGGCTGCAATTCCTCTTTCATATTATAGTAGTTAATTGTTTTGTTTTGTTTTTCCCCCTCTTCCAAATTCTAGGTTCCAACATAAGCACAGGAGTCCTGGGTAAGTAGTATACTAAAAAGACTTGGGGTCAGATTAACCACTGAGGTAGATAAAAATAACTCAATTGACCTCAGTAGAGCTCTGCTGATTTACTCTAGTTGAACATTTTCCTTGAACCTAGCTATTGCCTCTTGGGGAGGTAAATTACTTATGCCAGTGGGATAGGTAGTGTCTACATGGAAGCAGTAGAAGTGAACAGTAGTTTGGATTTTGGATTTTTCATATACTAGAATAAAGTCCTATCATTTTATGCAATATGAAGTTTTCTAGGTTTTAGATAATTGCTTGTGAATACCCACTTGTGTATGATGTAATCATTTTTTGCTTCTGCTGACATGAACCCACATATTGTATGGCACTGATGATGGTCTTACTCACAGTGAACTTTTTGAATGCCCTAATGCTAAACTTTTGCCTAAAGATCAAAGCCTGAGGAGGGTACAGTACAACATGTTAACTGTGTAACCACAAGCAATGACTCAGGATTCAGAAACCCTTCTGGTACAGATAGAATCACTTCTGATCAGATTCATCCTGAACTTTTTAGAGATTTTAATTTGCAAAGGTCACAAATGCTAGTTCTGTGTGGAAGACTAATGCCATTCTCTGCTTGTCTCAGCGATCATAGGGGTGTTGTTGCTTGTCGTCGCCGCCATCGTCGCCGCCGCCGCCGTCATCGTCGTCAAGAAAACTAGGTATAAGCAGAATATGGGGCGAGGGATTTTTCTAAATTGCCATTCATTGCAATGTGTATGGACTGTTGTTTGGTTTCCATTTAATGCTAGTAAATCATTTCATAAAATGAATCATGATCTCCATATGCAAGAGTGGGGCTAAAGAAATAGACCATCACTAGTATAATCTTGTGAGTTTGCAGCTGGAGAAATCTTAGTGCCTTTCACATGCCAATTTTTGTTAGATCGTTAAAAAGAAAACATTCTCTCCCCACTAGCCTCTTTGTCCTGGATGAAGCACAATAAAGTAAAAATAACGAGAAGTCCTGTGGCACCTTATAGACTAACAGATGTATAGAAGCATAAGCTTTCATGGGCAAAGACCCACTTTCTCAGATGCATCTGGTGAATTAGATCTTTGCCCACAAAAGCTTATGCTCCTATAAATCTGTTAGTCTATAAGGTACCACAGGACTTCTCGTTGTTTTTGTAGATTCAGACTAACACAACTACCCCTCTGATACACAATAATATAGTTTCACAAAAATAAACAAATCCAAAGCATTCTTTTCTGTTGGCATGTTACAGAAAAGTAAGGCTCATGATGGATTTATCCTATTTTAGATCTGAAAAGATTTTTTTTTATCTCTGTTATATATTAGGATTTGAAAAGAGAAGGAGACAGGATAATTTCTTTTCTTTTTTTTTCCCTACTGCTTTTTTTGCATTTGGCATGTTAGTGATATAAATAACATGTGGTTCTCTCAGGTTTTGTTGGAGGACTTTCTGGGATTAGTAAGGGAAGTGTCTTTGTGTATTTTGAGCCCTCAATTTTTAATTGCAGAGGGAAGTGGTGTTTTAAAAATTACACCAAAAAATCACCTCTCTTCTCTAATCTGTTAGACAATGGTCTTATATAGATGTAAACAATGTTTGAACTGTCTAATCCAAAATCCTTTCTACTTTCTCAGCTGCTGGAGGGATGTTGTATCTCTTGCAATGTCCTACTGTAACTTTATTAATTCTCTAGTTGCCGATGAACTAAATTTCTAATACCATTGAGGCTGGTCTTGTATGTAACACATCAGTACTGAAGTGGCATAAGCCCCCTTTTTTCTTGTTTTGCCTGTCACCTTTAAATGATGGTTTTCTTCCCCACCCAAACCATTCTCTTCCGTCCGAAGGATTTGAGACCTCTTTAGATCTGGTAAATTAATCTGTGTTGGTGTCCTCTGATGTTATGAGTGAGACCTCGGATGCCTTCAAATAATCTTTCCAAACTTAGCAGCCATAAAACTCTGATGTTAAGTTTGAGCCTAAATATAAATTTCCTTGCAGTCTCCTTTTTAAGCCTGCTGAGCAAAATATGGCCTGTGAACCTAATTCAGACCGCCCAGCATTTCGGTCTGGCTTGCTCAGCTGATTAGCAGGGCATACAGGCAGCATGTGTTCAGCTTCCCCTCTCTACATCTTTCTTTGGCCTTCCACCAAGCTGCTCCCAGAACTCTCCTACTAGCTGTGCAGATGGGGGCAGGAGAGGAAAGGAAGAGGGGAATGTTGAAATTAGGGTGTCCCCTGCCTCTTTACCCCATCTTTGGCAGAGTAGGGGATGGCGAGAGGGACACCACAAAGGGCGACTCCAGTCTGAAGTAGGGATATAAAATTTTGATTAATTGGCTAATTGAATAGTTGATGCAATTTGCACCAGGACTGTAGCTACACTTCAAAGGCAAAAGTACTGTGGGAGCATGGGGCCAGCGGGGGAGTCCCCAGCTGACCCCAGACTCTATGCGGCACTGCTGCTTTCAAATGCCACGTGCAGCCTGGGGACTCACAGCTGTCCCCAGGCTGCACTTGCTGTTTCAAAGCAGCAGTGTCATATGGAGCCTAAGGTCTGGCCCCAAGATCCACACGGTGCTACTGCTTTGAAGCACCCTATTTTCTTCTTCCCCCTGGCTGCTGCTTTCTGAGAGAGGCAGCAAGGAGGGGAAACAATTACTCAACCAGTATGTTGACTTATATGATAATCATTTGCTTATCGGATAGTCAACTATCGTTCACATCCCTAGTCTGAAGTATGGTAAGTGACTGAGATGAGTACCTGTCTTAAGAGGTAAGTCTACTGTTTCTTAAATTTTTCCAACAGCCTGCTCTCTCTCTCATATACAAACACATTCTTTTCCCTTCCCATATGCCCTGTCTGCAGAGCTGGGGAGGGGTACACAACAGAGCAGGACAGCTTTCCCGCTCTGAAAGTAACAGTACATGGTGTCTCTCAGAAACTTAACTAGCAGCAGTCAGCACACCCATGGTCACACGCCCACACCACCTCATCTGTGCCACAGACTTTCTCCCAGTCTCTGTGCCACAAAGTCTGTCTGTCAGACACAAATCAGTCTCTCGCTCTTTCTGTCTCTAACCCTCAGACCGGCACTTTCCACTGGAGACTCTGTCCCTTAAGGATATGGGCCCAGAGCAGGCCTAGACCACTTATCAAAATTTGGGAAGTGGCCCCCCTGAGAGAATTATTGTCCATCCATTTTTAACAGAAACTAAAATTGTTTTCCTTTTAAAGTAACATTTATTTTTCCTTTCCACCATTCAGCTTTTGCCGTTCTCAAGAAAACAAGTACCAAATGCCTTTGGACAATGTAATGGAAGAGAAAACTTGATTTGCACCCCTGCAGGTAAGGGTTTTGCACCCCAGAAGGGTTAGATGACTTCAACAAAAAATGTCAAAATTGTGGTGATCTCACTTAAATGCAGTGATACTCAAATTGAGCCTTGAGAGCTACAATTGGCTCTTTGGTTCCTAACTTTTCTGTGTTCAATCAAGATAGTTTTACTATGATAGTGCAACTTGATAGCTGGTTAAGTTACAAAATTGTTTGCTGTGAGAAGAATTAATTCTCGACAACTGTGACTCCTTTGAATAATGTTGATGGCTTATTTGTCTCCTGAACAACAAAGGTGCACAGTGTATTGAGTGGAAAGTAACTGCTCCTCACCCGTTGTTCTGCCTTGTTGGTTGCTTGAATAAAAAACAGTGTCTGTTGTATCCCCCAAACACTTCTGGTTTGGCTAAGCCAAAGATAGGGAGCCTTTTTTGGGTTCGAGGCTGCTGACCCACAGAAAAATCAGTTGGAGGGGCTGCACATATGTGAGGGGGAAAAAAAAGAAAACCAAACCCCCACTCTCCCCACACTGATGTGGCCCCTTACTGAGGAGAAAAAAGCTGCTCCCTATATCACAGTTGCCTTGCACAGCAGAGCCTAGGAGGGCCCTGGCTAGTATATTTTATGTGCTCCAGTCCTGTGATGGGGTGGCAGAGAGGCTGGAATACCAGCATGGGCTCCCCAAAGCCTCGGGAACCGCATCTAGGCAAGCCGGGGCCTGAGGTTCCCTACCCCTGGGCTAAGCTTTTGTTTGTAGCAAATGACCAGATCGCATTTGCAGTGTCATACCACTCTTTTGAAGCTGGAAAAACAAAACCAGTTCTGGTGAATTACATGTATGTGTTTCCTTCTAGTAGAAAAGAAGGAAATCGTGGATCAGATGTTACCTACTTTTGAAATGATGTTTTGTTTGTATGGTTCAGGGGAAACCTGCTCTCTGTCCAATGCTTCTAACCAGCAGGTTCTTACACTAACTAGAATAAGGCCTGAACAATTCACCTCTGCACTTAAAGGTGTTGCAGTGACTCCTCTGCTTATAGATCACTCTATATTTAGTCCTGTGGCTGTAACTGTCAGTACTGCAAACCAACTTTTCGTGGTGTTGCTTTGCTTTGAGTTGTTGTGCCATTATGTAATCTGCCTTCATATGTCAAGCTACTGCTTCATGTATGTGCATTTTTAAACACACAATACACAGTCCCTGATATGAACAAGTTCACAATGTGCTATTTATTGTGACTTGTAAACAGATTTTTTTAAAGGAGACTGGACAA